TAATAATAATAATAATAATAATAATAATAATAATAATAATAATAATATAGGAAATATTATAATACACATCTCAAAATCTCCACAACTGTAAAGCCTACAAACTTGAAATTGGGCATGTATGTTCCTCTTGGCTTCTAGGTGCTCACTAAGAAAGGATTTTTTTCCGAAATGACCATCAGAGCATTACTATTTCCTATATTATTTTTATTATTATTATTAACACGCTCTGATGCTAAGGAGTTCGACTCCCCCTTCCCACCTGGAAAGAAATCTCTTCCCAATGCAAAACACGAGCAGAGGAGTTTCAATTTCAGTTTCACAGCAGCCCCAAGCAGCTTTAGTCCAAAACAGTTGAGCTAAGCCACGCCCAGGCTCCTGGCTGTCTCCTTGCTCACACAGCAAATATTCTTTCAGTTTCCAAACAGCCCTCAACTCTCTCACACACTGACAGGACGCTAGCCAGATGAATATCGATGGATGCTGGTAAGCAGAGGCAGAATTTCCCTCCCCCCTTATTTTCCTCCCCCAAAACTAACCCCGACCACATAGTTTCGTAGCAAAGAGCGAGTATCAGAACTAGCCTACTACAAAGGAAGAGGCAGTTAAGAAGAACGGTTAGCCAAGAAGGAGAGAGATACGGACGAGAAGAGAAACCAAATCGTACCGTGGCCGTTGTCCAAGAAGTCGGTAATGAAGCGGCCGCTACACGGGGACCACATCTCGTCAGGATTGACCGGAGACATGACGGAGGCCATCATGTGGCGGGTATTGCTGTGACGGTTCAGCTCCTTGCAGTGTTTGTCATCATCGTGCAACATATTGAAGACGTGACCTGCGAGTCGAGAAGGATTATTTTCATTTTGCTCCTTCCGTATCTTCTCCTGTGGCCGCCACAGGGCGAAACGCCCTTAGTTTACGTTAGTTCGCTAATGGGAGTCTTAGGATGTCAAAAGTCAGCTCTGTTTGTTTTGTTTTTCTTTTCCATCCCTCAACTCAAGTTTCTAGTCCCTCTCGAGGTCTTTCGAAGGGATGGGCAAAGATTACAAGCAAATAAACCCAGGAACCAAAGAATTATTGTAAATATATTGGATATACACTGGACTAAAGATTTACTGAGCAGAAACAAAGTTTGTGGAAATATTTGAATGATTTATCCAAGTGTTGATTTTAGCAGATTTTAGCTCTCTCTCTCTCCCCCCCTTCCCTCTCCTTCTCTTTCTCCTTATCATTCTCTTTCTCTCTCTTTCGCTCCTCTCTCTCTCCCTCCTCCTCTCTCCTCTCTCTCTCTCCCTCCTTCTTTCTCTTTATCATTCTCTCTCTCTTTTTCCTTCTCCTTATTCTATTTCTCTCCACTTTCTCTCTCTCCCCTCCTTCCCTTCCTCTATCTTTCTCTCCTCCTCTCTATCTCTCTTTCTCCTTCTCTTTCTCTATCTTCCTCCCCCTTCTCTTTCTCCTCTTTCTCCCTTTTCTCTCCCTCTTTTTCATTCTCTTCCTCCCTCAGCAAAGCAAACTGGTCTTGTTTTTCCACCTTGCTTTAACACCACTGAGAGAACTTCAGTCTGATAAGGACACTAAAAAATTCTCTCATGTTGATCCCTGACAAAGAGGAAAGCAATGAAGCTCTCAGCCCCATTTATAGCTGTGGTGATCTGATAGGCATTTTCTCTGACAATAAACCTTGCTGAAGTTTGTCAGAGTCCGAAGGGACCTTGGAGGTCATCTGTTCTAGTCCAGTGTCGGAGCACCCTTAACTTCTGGAGGCAGGCAGTTCCACTGGTTAATTATCCTCACTAAGAAGAAATTTCTCCTTAATTCTAGGAGGTTGTCTTGATTTATTTCAAGCTGGAGAACTGTCCAATAAAAGCCCAGTTTGATTTGACTGGAGTTAAGCCGCTTACTTTACCCAGATTAGGGGTATCTGTCGATCTGATCCCACTTACCCAATTCGTGGGCCGCAGTGAAAGCCGACTGAAGCCCATCATCCTCGACTATGGAACAACTGCGGGCCGGATCACACACGGTGCCCACATCTGCCATGCCCAGAGTACCACAGCTGGAGCGTCCACAGAGATCCTGCCAGCAAAGAGAGAAACATGCATTGTGACGATGGTTTTCCCTTCGCACCACTGAGGAGGCCTCAGTTCCTAACATTTGTGCCGTCGACAGGTACGCAAGAAACATATTTTTCATTAAAAACAAAACAAAACACAAATTGATCTGGGAGCCGACCTTGTCTCAAAGCCCAGCAGTATCACTTCTATGTCCAGAGCTGAATTGGAAGAATCTGTAATTGCAGGAATTTTAGGGGATCGAAATGGCAAAGAGGAGCCATTTCAAGACTTTGGAAGACCCCGCTTTTATGAAAGCGATTTAAGTTGGTCAGGAAGGTTCTAGAGTGGTGTTTCTTAGCCTTGGAAACTTGAAGGTGGATGTGCGTCAAGATTTTCAACTCCCAGAATTCCCCAGCCAGCATGCTTTAAGATGCATGGACGACAACTCCCATAATTCCCCAGAAAAAATGCTTTAAAGTGAGTGGACTTCAACTCCCAGAATTCCCCAGAAAAAAATGCTTTAAAGTGAGTGGACTTCAACTCCCAGAATTCCCCAGAAAAATGCTTTAAGGTGGGTGGAATTCAACTCCCAGAATTCCCCAGAAATATGCTTTAAAGTGAGTGGACCAACTCCCAAAATTCCCCAGAAAAATGCTTTAAAGTGAGTGGACTTCAACTCCCAGAATTCCCCAGAAAAAATGCTTTAAAGTAAGTGGACTTCAACTCCCATAATTCCCCAGAAAAAATGCTTTAAAGTGAGTGGACTTCAACTCCCAGAATTCCCCAGAAAAATGCTTTAAGATGGGTGGAATTCAATGCCCAGAATTCCCCAGAAATATGCTTTAAGGTGAGTGGACTTCAACTCCCAGAATTCCCCAGAAAAATGCTTTAAGGTGGGTGGAATTCAACACCCAGAATTCCCCAGAAAAATGCTTTAAGGTGGGTGGAATTCAACACCCAGAATTCCCCAGAGGCATGCTGGGAGTTGAAGTCCACCTGTCTGAAAATTCTCCAAGATGGAGAAACTTCAGTTTTTGTTCCATTTTCCTTCTAGGAAATCAACCTTTTGCCATTCCTGCATTCTCCATTTTGTGAAAGCGCACATGAGATGCTCTTGAAGACCCCTTTCCCCCCCCACCCAGGTTTCTGCCGGGCCTCAACAAGGCCTCTTTGAGCCAACTCCGATGCCTGCGAGATGGGACAGGTGTGTCACTTCTCACCTGTCTGGTGAAGAGAATGGCCGTGTCGAAATGCTCGGGGTCTTTGTCGCTGGCCTTGTTCAGCCCTTTCTGCCAGGAGCAAAAATTGCGGAGGGTCTCGGCCGCGTTGGAGGTGACCCTCAGCCCGTCCTTGGCTTCTCCGATCACCACCAGCCTGGTCACCACCAAACTGACGGGGTTCCTGACGCTCGGATGGCGGAAGAACTTGGCAGCCGCCGCCATGATGGTGAGCAGGTACGGTTTGAGCCCTGCGCCGTGAAAGCGCATCATTTCTTCGTCGGCCACCACCAGGGTTTCCACGTAGCGTGGGATGGAAGCAAAGCGCTGTGTGGGAAGAAAAGAAGGTACAATAGGTTGAGGGTAGGCGGTCTGGCCGAGGGGTTAAGGCCACCAGGCTGGAAATCAGGAGATGAGGAGTTCTAGTTCTGCTTTAGCAATGAAAGCCAGATTTGGGTCAATCACCAGGAGACGGGGAGTTCTAGTTCTGCTTTAGCAATGAAGGCCAGCTGGGTGACCTTCAGCCAATCAGAAAAGAAAGAAAGAAAAGAAGAAAGGAGGAGGAAGAAGAAAAAGAAGAAAAAAGAAAGAGAAAAAGAAAAAAAGGAGGAGGAGGAGTAAAAAGAAAGAAAAGAAAGAAAAGAAAGGAGGAAGAAGAAAAAGAAGAAAAAAGAAAAGAAAAAGAAAAAAGAGGAGGAGTAAAAAGAAAGAAAAGAAAGAAAGAAAAGAAAGGAAGAAGAAAAAGAAGAAGAAAAAAGAAAGAGAAAGAGAAAAAAGAGGAGGAGAAGAAAGAAAGAAAGAAAGAAAGAAAGAAAGAAGAAAAGAAGAAGAAAGGAGGAGGAGGAGGAAGAGAAAGAAGAAGAAAAAAGAAAGAGAAAAAGAAAAAAGAGGAGGACTGTGGGGTCCTTGGATTGGTTCCTTGCAGACATCTTATTACCCAGCTAGGTAACATCATCAGTGCTTGAAGGACGGAGATTTTTAAATTCAGAGCTTTTTCAGGGCTATTTCAAGAAAAGGGACATTTTTGGGAATGAGATGCCGGTTTCAAACCCACAACTGATTTCCCCACAAGCTGACTTGGTTCACCTCACCACCCGAGCAATCTGCCTGAGCTTTTCACATATCCGTCCAGCCCTGTGAGAGTTAATACCCCTCTCCGTTGCTTTCCAGGCAGCCAAATTTGGCGACTTTTCCAAAAAAAACCCGAGCCAAGAAACGGCGCGGGGCAGTCTCTGTGTCTGGCACCCAGCCCCGAATCCTCAAAACTTCGGTGCAGAAGGAGGAACAGGCAAGCGAGACGCTGAAGCAGAAAGACACCCACAGCTGCATTTCCAAGGGAGCTGACTTTGCGTGTGTGAACGCCACCCGATTCCTGGGCTACCAATGCACCCAACAGCCCCCCAAAACTCAGAGTTCCAACCCCAGATTTTAACCCCCAAACCCTTTCTCTTTTCCACAAACTTCTTCAGCCATCCCTTGATGGGGCATTTAACCCACTCCCCAAATTTCCACGCCGCAGCGAGTAGTTGACCAAACTCAGGCGTTAAAAAAACAGATATTTAAACCAGTCGGTTGTCGTGAAAAACCTAATTCCACCCCACTTTGTTTTTTCCTTCCTCTCCTCCAGTTTGTCTCTGGCTCGCTGGGGAGGAGAGAAATTCCTTCCCTTGGAAAAAAAATAAAAATAAAAAATATGCTTTAACAGCCGGGCGTAGCTGAGGCCGGACCAGGCACAATCTGGGACGACGTTCACACAACTCTTCAAACCAGAGGCTAGCTGTTCTTCCTTCCCAGGGTGGGAAAAAAGGAGAGGCTTTTTTCTCGACCAGCTACGAGACAGGTACAGCTGCTTTTCCCCGTCCAACACTTTGGGGGGGTGAGGAGAGCTTGGGGGGGGGGGGGGGTTCAAAGGGAGCGATACCCAACCCCAAAACGGAGCAAAAGCTGAAAGCAAGTGCGGTTCAGGCTGCGAGGCTGGCTTAGACGATCGGGGTCTCTCACGCAGCCTGGAAAGCGCTATTCCGCTTTGTGTATCTTTATTTTTTTATATATATATATTTTGATCGGTTGGTTTTGTTTTTAGAGTGCCTTTCTTACGATTTTGTAAACCAAACGAGGAGGTGAACGCATCTACTCCTCCCTTCCTTCCTTCTCCTGTTTTTTTTCCCCTGTAACAACAACAACCCTGTGAGGTGGGTTGGGCTGAGAGGGGGGGATTGGGTCAAAGTCACCCAGCTGGCTTTCGTGGCTATTGCAGGACTAGAACTCCCCATCTCCTGGCAATTGCCCCAGAGTCATTCGGTTGGTTTTTCATGCCTAAGCTGAGACTAGAACTCCCAGCCTCCTGGTAATTGTCCGAAAGTCACCCAGTCAACTTTCCTGTTTAAGGTAGGACTAGAACTCCTTGTCTCCTGGCGGTTGGTCCAAAGTCATCCTGTCGGCTTTCATGCCTAATGCGGTACTAGAACTCACCATCTCCTGGCAATTGGCCCGAAGTCATCCAGCCAGCTTTCATGCCTAACGCAGGACTAGAACTCCCAGTCTCCTGGTGATTGTCCAAAAGTCACCCCGTCAATTTTCCTGCTTAAGGTAGGACTAGAACTCCCAGTCTCCTGGCGATTGGCCCAGAGTCATCCAGCCGGCTTTCATATCTAAGGCAAGGACTACAACTCACTGTTTCCTGGTTTCCAACTTGGCACCTGAATCTTTAGATCAAACTGGCTTTCTCTTTTATATTAACAACTCCCATAATAAATCTGAGGGCCCCGTCTTCAGCTACAGATCTTCACCTTGCTAGTAAACTCAGTTCCCAGATCCTTTCCAAGTCACCCGTGACTGCAAATCTTGGTTTGGGGTGCCCTCACCTGGTCTTGAGTTCAGGAAACTCAAGTCCATGTTGGGAACTAGATTTCTGTCTTTGCTGCTTTCCAGAAATGAAAGGTTTTGCTGTCTGTCTTTACTGCGGTGTCCTTGGTGCTCCTGGTGGCTTTCTTGCAGACATCTGGTGACCCAACTAGGTAACGTTAGAAGTCCAATTCCCTTCTCTTAATGTTTACCTCGTTGGGTGATGAGATGCCAGCATCAGACTTCCTTTCAGTCATATCGCGGTTTAGTCCTCGTTAACTCTGGCTATCATAGGTTTGTATCTCCTGTTTAGACCATAATTGACAGCTGCTGGGACAAGACATGTTGGATCTGAGGGATAATCTTGGCACCAGATATGGGCCACCAGGTCTGACAATGACTTTGGTGCTCTGTTGAAGGATCACCCGGTTAACTGGGTCCAAGGGATGGAGGAGGCACCAAGAAATGTTTTACTCCCCAAATGTGGGACTCTAGACCAGAGAAAAGTCTCTAAGATTGAATGTTCCCTCAGAAGATCCAACTGAGACCCCAACCCACCAGAGAAAACTCTCTAGCAATGAATGTTCCCTCAGAAGATCCAACCGAGACCCCAACCCACCAGAGAAACCTTGAACATCTTGCCCAACCACCCCTTAATGAAGCTGGTGGACCTTTCAACTTACCTTGGCTCTCCTGGGAGATGCACCCATCTTCTCCCACAGCTTTCCTTCTTCGCTGGGTGCGCCCTCCGGCGCCTGCGCACCGACCCCACACATTGGCCCATCCCCTTTGTCCGACATCTTCTTCCTCACCACGTGGGCCTCGGTTCCTCCCGCCTGGTTCAGGGTCCCCCCTTTCAGAGGCTGGATGTGATATTCGGTACCCCGATATTGCAGCACCCCGATCAAAGAAGTCCCGTCGAAGTTGATTGCCACGATCGATTCCGGATCCGAATTGATTGTCCCGGTGAAGTAGTTGTCTCTTTCAGTCGGCGTGTCCACCACCGGCTTCAACCTGCCCAAATATTGGACGGTCAAGTCCTTTGAGAAGAAACTAGGGTCTCTCTCTAAATTGAGGAGCAGTTCTTCTCCAAACATCTGCAGTCGAAATGACAGATGTCGGTCCGAATCCATGTTATAATCGAGGGAATTTTCATTCTCAAAGGTGCCGGATGAGTCTTGACCCCCCAAAACAGAACTGGCATTCAATTTTTCAGGATAAACTATTTCTTCATCGTATCTGCTCGAAGGACCCATTTCGGTTCCTGAGCAAAAGAGGTTAAAAGAGACGATGAGCAACAGGAGAAACATGAGTAAATTTTGTTTGGGAGGACAGTCAACTTAAGAAGAAAAAGAGGGGCAACCCCCAAAACTTCTCACCCTTGTCGGAGAAAACTAGGAATAAATCAAGAAAGAAAAAAAAATGTACACCCAGCAGCCAAGAAGGCAGCCGATGATATAAAGTTTCCCCAAGGACAAATGCGAAATAAAAAGACGAACAAAGATACCAAATTTCCTTCTTCTCTTTGCTGGTTGCAACTCTGAAATTGATTTAAAAAAAAATTTTTTTAACAAAGCGGGGGCCAAAAAAAATCAGATCAAATGAGAAGTGATTCCGCTTCGATTTCTTTTTAAGTTGCCGAGAGAAACCATTGAAAAAACGGGCTTTGACAGAAATTTGGTTTCTCCCCTTTTATTTTTCTTAGCTGCCAAATATTTTTTCCTCCCTTCCTGCAGCTGACTTGGGTTTTCTGCGGGATGCCAAACGAGAAAACTTCGGTTCTTCCTTCCAGATCTTAGAAAGCACCAGGAAAAAATCTCTCTCTCTCTCTCTCTCTCTCTCCTTATTGTCACCCCTCGTTTTTCTTCTCTTTTGAAACGAAGAGGGTGGAATAAAAGAATCAACTGGAAAAAAAAGAGAAAAAAGGAATAAACTCGATCCCAGTTCGTTAGTTTTCTCTTCGGTTGTAATCCTCGGGACTTTCTGAGTTTTTAAGATGTGTGGATGTATACATGTCCATATATATATATATATATTGAATTACTCTGCAACTAGCCCCGCCTCCTCTGCCTTTCCATTGGCTTGCAGAGCTTAGTCAAAAAAAAAAGGATGATTCCCAAAAGACGTAATGCTATGAATAAGAGATGAAAAAGGGGTTCCCCCCCCCCCCACTTAAAAAAACTCTTCCTCTTTTTTTTAAAAAAAAACATTGTGAAATGGACGGGCTGTGCGATGATTTAAGGATGGGAATTGCAGATGAGTTGGCAGAAATGACACACACAGACACACACACACACACATATTGATGGAGGGGGGCTGTTGATGTGTGTGTCTCAGTGTGTAAATGGGTATTTTCCTTTTTTTTAAAAAAATTCCCTATTTCCAGTTTTGTTTGTTCGTTTGTTTGTTTCCTGGCTGATGGTGAGAAATCTTGCAATTGTGGTCAGCTTCTCTGCCTCTCATTTCCCACCACCACCAATAAAGTGTTCTTTATTGTCACAAAGAAAAGCAATTTTTGGGGAGTGGATCTGCTCTGGGGGGGGGGGGGATGTAAAACTCCCAACTTTTTTAAGTTGCTAGTCCACAAGGTTTTTTTTGCTAGAAAAGCTTTCAAATCTTTGGAGGTTTTTGCGAGACGTGGGAGCAGAAACACTGTAAATCAATTGATTCTTGGACATCTGCCCAGCTGCCTTCCTCCTTGTCTAAGTCTTGACAACAGATGACAATAAATCTGATCAATTAATTTAGCAAATGAATGAATTAATTTAAAGATCAACAGCTGGAAATTGCATCTTGCAAAGCTAAGCACCTCCTTCTATCTTACTCTTTTATATAGGCTTAGCCTGAAAGCCAACTGGATGAATTTGGGCCAATCACCAGGAGGCGGTGAGTTCTAGTTCTGGCTTAGGTATGAAAGCCAGCTGGGTGACTCTGGGCCAATCACCAGGAGACTGGGAGTTCTAGTTCTGGTTTAGACACGAAAGCCAACTGGATGAATTTGGGCCAATCACCAGGAGGTGGTGAGTTCTAGTCCTGCCTTAGGCATGAAAGCCAACTGGATGAATTTGGGCCAATCACCAGGAGATGGTGAGTTCTAGTCCTGCCTTAGGCATGAAAGCCAACTGGATGAATTTGGGCCAATCACCAGGAGGTGGTGAGTTCTAGTTCTGGCTTAGGCATAAAAGCCAACTGGATGAATTTGGGCCAATCACCAGGAGGTGGTGAGTTCTAGTTCTGGCTTAGGTATGAAAGCCAACTGGGTGACTCTGGGCCAATCACCAGGAGGTGGTGAGTTCTAGTTCTGGTTTAGGCATGAAAGCCAACTGGGTGACTCTGGGCCAATCACCCCAAGAGGTGGTGAGTTCTAGTTCTGGCTTAGGTATGAAAACCCACTGGGTAATTTGGGGCCAATCAACAGGAGTCTTGGTTTTTCAATGGCACCCCACTTTTTAGGGGTGTTCGTATGCTTTTGATGGGGTGGGGATGGGGGCCCCCTTATGATCCTTTTCCAGTACCCCCTTTTCTCTCCTGAAACAAAGAGAAGTGAGCTCGGAGACCCCAAAACACGTCAAAACATACGGAAATCAAGTCCTCCCTCTTGGAGATACAACCGTTCTTTGCGAAACCAGGAGAACGTCTAGTCCTTGGACGTTCCCGTCGACTTGGATTTTCATCGAAATTCCTGCGATTGTTTTTTTTTTTCCCCCTGCCTAGGGAATATTTGTGAGAATCCCCTTTCCAGGACTTTTTTTTTTTTTTTTTTTCGGTGTTGTGCTTTCGTGGTTCTGGGTGACATGGCCTCCCAGTGACGTGGCGGGTGACGTGCCTTATGGGGACCTCAGCCCGTCATTGGGGATTCTGACCTATCTCAAGAGAGGTTCTGGTCAGATGGTGACCACGATGGGAGGGATGTGTCTCTTCGTCCGACGGTTCTTTCCGACCTTCCCCAGAAACCGGCCGGGAATCTGCTGGGAACAGAGTGTCCCATTTTCTCACAATCTACCCCCACCCCCCACCCCCGCTCCGGGGCTCTCCCAAGCCAACTGGGAAGGAGGCCAAGCCAACTCTGGCTCCCAAGGCAGCTGCGTCCAGAGGTGAAGACCCCTGGAAGGAGAAAGAGGAGAAGCAGACTGTGCTCCAGGGAAAAGTCTCTCTCGAGCTTTGGCAGCTGGCTGTGCCTTCCTTCCTTCCTTCCTTCCTTTCTTTCTTTCTTTCTTTCTTTCTTTCTTTCTTTCTTTCTTTCTC